CTACCTCATAAACCAGTCAATAGGTCCAGAAAGAACTAGGAAAGTTTTAGTGGGAATCTAATCTGTAGTTAGGGTGTGAGAGAATTGTGTCAATATAGCATCCTATAAAAGGTCTTATATTCACAGTGGTGGTAGAAGAATCTCACTATCTTGGCCCAAAATCTCTGGTCAAAAGGCAAACCACCCCTGCTGTGACATGAATCCCTCTCCTGCTAAGTAAGCCCAGACTGAGCCAGTAACCTGAATTTGCTCAGGATGGCAAATGTCATTCAATCTTAGGAAGATTCAGAATGAAACATGAGGATGATAAAATAAATCAAATCCAATGCCTCCCTGGTGGCACAAGGGGTTAAGCACCGCACTATGAAGCAGTCCCCAGCCTCTGCAGCATGAGTTCAATCCTCCGCTGGCCAGGGAGCAACCCACATGGTGCAGCAGACCTCTCCTGTCTCACCCACTGCTCCCCTCAGCAGTGTGTTTCAGTCAGTCTGCCTGTTCTGCTCCCCACTCTGTCTCTGGTAAATCCTCTCACCCCCGCATCTCTGGCCTGTACCCCAGCTCTTGTATGCATAAATAAATAAATCTTAAAAAAAATTAAATACATAGCATTCATATTTTTGTGTTAAGTAATAATCGGTATAATTTGGAATTTTCAGTGTTTGTGAGATTAGAGACTTTATTATGTTGGAGAACCTAACAAATTAGCTTTGTGATCCCAATGTGAAATATATAATTAAAAAAAAATATTTATGCACACAAGAGGTGGGGTACAGGCCAGAGATGCGGGGGGTGAGAGAATTCACCAGACAGAGCGGGGAACAGAACAAGCAGACGGACCGAAGACACTGCTGAGGGGAGCAGTGGGCGAGACAAGAGAGGTCTGCTGCACCAAGAGGGTTGCTCCCTGGCTGGCCGGGGATTGAACTCGTGCTACAGAGGCTGCAGACTGCTTCATAGTGCAGTGCTTAACGCCTTGCGCCACCAGGGAGGCCCTAAAATACATAATTTGAGTAATTGATTTTAGACTTAGAGAATTTTACTAGTTTACAAATAGTGTTGAACAAACCTGACAAGTACTGTATTTGTAAGTTTAGCATATTAGATTTGTAAGAGTTATTAGATTAATAAAATTTGTAGATATTTAACTAAGAGAAAGTAACTTGAACTTCTTGTGCTTTGATTTTCTCACCTGTAAAAATGAGAATAGTCCTATTTTTCATAAGGTTGTTGCAAGAGAATGAGTTCATATAAGAGCTTGCAATGGTGCCTTTGAATAAAGTCATAAAGTTACTTGTCGTTGTTATTATTATTTATCTGAAGAGGTTTTGTTAGTTCAGTCATTTAAATATAGCATTGAGGGCCTCCCCAGTGGTGCAGCGGTTGAGCGCTGGGTTGCGAAGCTGCCCGCAGCCTCTGCAGCGCCAGTTCCATCCCCGGCTGCTCCCCGGCCACCAGAGGAGGGTCCCACATGGTGCGTAGACCTCTCCTGCTGCCCGCTGCTCCCCTCAGCAGTGCACTTTGGTCTTTCTGCCTGCTCTGCTCCCTGCTGTGGCTCGGTGAATTCTCTCACCCTCCCGCGCTTCTGACTGTACCCAGTGCTTGCATAAATAAATGAATAAATCTTAAAAAAAAAAAAAATCTAGACTTAAAAATAAATAAATAAATAAATACAGCATTGAAAAGGTAAAGTGAACATATGATGCATATAAATGCGTTTAAAATGTTTAGCAAAATTATTAATAAACTTGTCAGTGAAGCAGTTATTTAAGGGAGTCGAATGTATTCTGAGTTAAAGGGGCATTAACCAACCCCCTCTCAACATCAGAACCCATGTTTCCCACTGTATTCCCAGCATATAGACATTTGGTGCATAGTAGCTGCTTAATGAATGTGTTGAATTGAACCAAGAAGTCATATAGAAAAGATTCTGAGACCTGTAACCAATAGACACTGTTAATTGAGACAAGGACCACAGGAAGAGGAGGAACAGCTTTGAGCGCAGACAGTGAGGTCAAGATGAACTGGGAGTTCATCTTGTGTGTATGGCATGATAACAGGTTTGTAATAACAGGTTCATTGCCAGATAGAAACTTAGGAAATGGTTTGGAGCAGTAGAGGTATATTAGAGGGGATCATCTGCAGAGCTTGGGTTCAGTGAGAGGGGCCCCTTTGGAAATGACAGTTAAAATTTGCTAGGTTTATAAATAAATGAGAGCCTTGCTAAGTTTGATCTTGTTATTTTTTTTTAATTTTTCTATTTTATTTTATGAAATACTGGTTCTGACCCACTCAATTTGGACTTCATCAGTGGGTAGCAACCTGCAATTTGAAAAACCCCAGTAATGTTTAAGAACACAACTCTGAGGTCAGGTTGATGACATTCACATCTGCCTCCTACTCATACAGTGTGGGTTTGGGCAAGTAATTGCTACATACTCTGATTTCACTTCTCTATCTACAAAATGAGATGATAACAGTACCTACCTCATGGACTCAGAATTAAATGAGACAGGAGATAATGTGTGTAAAGGACTCAAGATAGCACTTGACACAACAAAGTCAAAGTTTCAGTAAGCATAGCTGGCAATTCTGGGTATAATGATGGAAGAAGGGTCAAAGCATCCCAGGTAGGGAGGGAGATGAGAGGTGAGGAAATGCCTCCTGGAAGAGATGGTATTAATGCTGGGAGCTTAAGGAGTAGTGATGTTAGTGGACAGAATGAGGGGCACCCCAGGGTCCCCACACCTTGAATGGTCCTACCATCTGCCACATTAAGACAAAACATACGCTGATGTACAGGTAAGACCTCCAATAGAAAAGAGCTTTATTAGAATGAGTGTGTAACAGAGAGGGAGAGAAGAGGGAAAGGATAATAGTTTCCCAATGAAACATCCAAAGTTACCCATGCCCCAGAGGGTAAATGTTCAGCCAAACGCTTGCCGCAGGTCTAAGGCACGTTCCGGTGGGGAGCCATAGGAAAGGGGCAGACGGGACCAGCTGTGTCTGGAAGGTCTGGAAGGAAAGGAGCTAAGGAAAAATACAAGTCAAGATCAAGGATGCCACTGCCAGCCTCTCCACCATTCTCTCACCTATGTCTCTGTCTCCTTCAGGTATTTCCTTCCATGTCCCCCAAGTTGCTGGTACAAGTCCAAGGTCAAGAAGCGAGTAGGACTTCTTCTTCACAAACCTCTCTGCTCTGTTTGCCTCCCCTTAGTCTTCTCTTTAAGTCCTCGCTGAGGTCCTTGTTAGCTTCCCCTCCATGCTTAGCTCCACCCTTCACTGAGTGTGGCAGGAAACACAGAACCTCCCCTTTTCAGATTACCCTGTTATAGCAGGAATTATGCAGGTGAAGAAGAGGCGGGAGGGAGAGAGAGAGATGAAAGTTCTGAGCAGAGAGCAGCCCTGACAAAAATTGTGAGGTGGGTGAACTTCCTGTCTTGTCTGATCTGAGAGCGGTCCCAGTTTAACTGTAGCCTGAGGGTGAAGACTATGACAGACGGGGTCAGAGATGGTAGCAGGGGGTGAGGTCACGAAGGCCCCAAGCTGCATCAGAGAATTTTAGACTCAAGTTGTGTGTAATGGGATCTTATTAAGCCTGTTTGGCGGAGAAATGACAGGATTTACTTTTTTGAAAGACCATTCAAGCTGTAAGGTGGAGAGTGTGCTGGAGAGGGCAAGTCCTCTGGAGAACCATGAAGAGTTTTGCAGGGTCTTGATAGGAGATGATGGCAGCCTCAACTGAGGGGAAGAGTGACAGGGAACAAGTTTCAAAGATCTAATTGGCTTTGGGGATTTGCGGGAGACAGAGTGGATCACGTCTAGGTTTCTGGCTTAAGCACCTGGGTGGCAGGGGATAACACACTCATTTCCTTAGAATACCTGGGGAAAAAAGACATTCAGGTTTTGGATAAGTTGAGGTTCGAGGTAAAGGGAATCTGTATGAAAACTTAAGTTTATTGATTTTGTTAAGCTGTTTCCTCGCACCCTTAGGGATAAGGAGTACTTTCATAATGCAATTGTTCTTAAACTGTGGGGTGCAAGACAACCACCGGAATGTGTGTATGAGGGGAGCTAGAGGTGGGATAAGACAGAGGGGTGTGAAAAAATGCAGGTGGCTAGGATAACAAGCCAAGCTTTTGTGGGGCCCAAAATTTAAATAATCAGTCCCTAAGTGATTGTGATGTAGGTATTCTCCTGACCACACTTAAAAAAACAAAGAACAACAAAAAAAAACGACCTCTCATCCAAAGTTAGATTGTTTTTCTGCTATCCACCCCTCCCTCGGTACTACCTCCCTACCTGGGGTGGGAGGTGGGGGTTGGGGTTGGGGTGGGGGGGTCCCTATTTCTGCTCAATGCCTCTGGTCATCCTCAAAGCTCCATGAGAACCAGAACTCGTTTTCCTAACAGGTCCATTTCCAGGGCGCCCAGAACTCTCTCTGTCACAGACAGGGCCCTTTAGAAGTGTTCGCCGAACGAGAGAATAAGTGAGTGACTAATATATCCCTTTGCACAAAAACTTTCTGCTTTTCAATACCCGTGCAGGGCTTGAAACAGGGCAGCAAAGATCATTCCAAAGAAAGGTGAGGCTGCGACCGGCAGGACAGCGCCTGGGGGGATGTGGGGGAGCCCCTTCAGACTGCCGAGGCGAGTCAGGGGCTCCCAATTCCTGGGACTCGGGGACGAGAAATGTCACTATTTCCAGATCAGCAACCATCTTGGGCGGCCCGCGCCGCATCTCCCGGGCGTCCACCTTGGCCCGACCCAGTTGCTTCGGCGGCTCCGGCCCCATCAAACCTCCGCGGCGAGACGTGAACACGAGGAGGGCGCGGGGGGCGGCGGCCCGAGCCCCGGCCCCGCGGGCCAGCCCCGCCGAGGCAGCTCCGACCTCCCCATCATGGCGGCGGCCGGGCGGGGAAGCGAGCCCGTGCGTCGCGTGCGTGCCCCTCTCCCTCCCCTCCCCCTCCTCGGCGGCGGCGGCGGCGGCAGAGGCGGCAGCGCTCGCCATTGCCGCTGGTGGCAGGAGGCTGCGAGGAGCCGGCGCGGTCGCAGTCTCCACGGCGCAGGCCCACGGTAGCGCAGCCGCTCTGAGGTGAGTGCCCTACCGCGCAATCTCCAGCTATTTCAGCCCCGGCGCAGCCGCAACACGCCGCCCGCCCGCCGGCCGGCCGGCCCGCCCCGCAGCCTGCACCCTGCCGCCCCCGGCTCCGGGCCCGGGCCCCCGCCGGATTCGGCCCGCCTCGGGCGGGGGCCCCGGCCCGGCCCCGTCAAACCGCCACCCCGAGGATGCGCAGGCCGCACTAGGCCCCGGGCGTCCTGGCGGGCTCGGGAGGGAGGCGCTGCCCTCCGGAGAGCCCCGGGGTTCCGGCCTCCCCCGCCGCCCGAGGCGCTCGGGGCCGCGGCCTCCTCGCCGCCGTGGAACCCGGCGCCCGGGCCCGGCCTTCCCGCGGCCGGGCTCGGGAGCGGGAAGCCGGAGAGCGCGCCGGGCCCGGGAGCGGGAGGTGGGCGGGCTGCGCGGGACCCAAGCCGCGGCTCCGCGCTCGCCCCCTCGGCCCTTCGCGGGTCTCGTCCGCGGGGCTCGGCGGCGGGCGGCGGGCCGGGCCGGGGCGCGCGCGCTGCTGTCGGCTGCGGGAGAGGAGGCTGGTTCTTGGGGCGACCTCCGAAGCTGCCTTCCCTCCCGCCGGGGTGGCGTGGGCTGGTTACCCAGGTAGACGGGGGGACGCTGGAATATGGCGCGTTGCCCACCTTCTTGCAAGTTAGGAGGCGGCCCGGGCGGCAGCGACGGCAGTTGGAGGAGGAGGGCGCAAAGTCCTTTTGTACGCAGAAATAAGGGGCGACATTGTGTTTTCTTCCCCAGCTGAGAGGATGCCGGGGGCCGGGGCCTGGGCTCCTCCTGTGCCTGGGGTGGTGGTCCCCTGGGTGAAGGACAGGGAGAGTGGCGCGACCTTCGGAAGCAACCGAGCCTTTGCCCCTAGAAAGGGGCTCCTCATGGCCTGGTGCGTGGGTCTCACCCCACATCCCCGGCTTTGTGGGGGACTCAGGGGTTTGGCCCTGCGTGTTACCACTTCGTGGTGCGGTGATGTCCACTGTCTTTCTCACCTGTTGTGTCGTCGTTGCTGGTCCCAAAGTTTCTGCAGTTCTGACGGCTCATCAGAACTTGGAGTTGGCTAAAAAATAATTTGGGGGGCTTCAAGTGATATCTGCTCCATCCAGTTGGAGGAGCTGTTGCTTGGTCTCCATCTCAAGCATTGGATTAGAATATATTAATTGTTTACTTTAGCACTGGTGTCAATTGTGTTTAATTGTCTGTGTGCTTGGTGCAGAATTTACATTTTCTGAAGTGTGTGGAGACATTGTGTTGGGAAACTTGAGGTGAAAGGTTGAGCCTGTTGGCTGGGACCGTGCTCGGCTGGAGAATGGATCCCAGGGTATTATCTGTATTCACGGTGATCTTTTTCTTTTTCGGCACAGCCTTTAAAAATTCTTTTTCTTTGGCCTTGACTTGTAGATTATTGGGTGGTTCTTCATCAGGAGAGGGGAGAGTAGAGACCTTGGATATGCTGAGTTTGATTGCTTTTAATTTAGTAGCAGAATTCCCTAGAGTTGGGTTCGAGAGTTCTTGAAGTGTTACCCCAAAAGTTAGTGAAAATAGAACTGATTTTATCTGTGCATCTGAGTGTAAGCCTTATTTTATGATCAAGAAAGCAAAACACAATTATCACATGTAATGTAGTCTATTTACTCTTAACTTGGGTCCTGAATTGTGAGCAGAATTTTTGTGTCACGGGATTTTTTTTTTTTTTTTTCTTTTTTCCTTCTGGCAGGAATTAGATGTGACTTTCGAGAGGGTTCATGACCAAAAAACCCAAGCAAAACAATCAGGTTAAGAATTACTGTTTATCTTTTGGCTCATCCTTTTTTGAAAACTTTGATTTTTTTCTCTCCTACCAACCCACTCCCCAGATCTCCCCACTTCAAACTGAACATAGATGTGGGAAAATATTTTCTGCTTACTAGTGGTCATATTCTCATTTAGCTAAAAAGTTTCTACCCCCAAACTAGTTTTCATGGTGATAGTTTTTTGTTTTTTGTTTTTGTTTTTCTTTTCACTAGGTTTTAAGAAAATTTAGCTCCTGCGTTTAGGGAAATACACAGCAGGTAATAATGAGGCCCTTGTCCAGATACAGAGAAATGAAAGCATTCCAGTTTTCCCTCCAATTTCTTGTATATTCCAATGGAACCCCCAATTATAAGGGGCTTTATTAAACACAAATATGCATCCATTTCAAATTTTTTCTTACGGAGCTGAAAAGCCAACTTCCCATGATTTAAACTTACCTGAGTTTGCCTATATGCTGTAGGGTCAAGCAGACCCCTGGGTTGTCTTCAAGAATTGGTTTATGTAAGATAATCCCAAGTAGGGGAAATTTAGACTCCTTGTGGTCCAGGATTAAATATTTTTACCACTTTCCTTTCATGTAGTAAGAAATTCAGTAAATGTTTGTTAGGGAATAATTAGGTTATTGAAATTAAAATTTTTTTCCACAAGTATTTGAAAAAGGTGCTGATTTTTGGGATTTGGAAAGAACTGAACTGTTTGCAGAAGTACATTCTCTAGACCTCTGGGGAGTTCTTACATAGGTTCAGCTGTCAGATCTTCAGGTGATCTTCAAGTTTCAGTCCAGTGCTTTAAGCTGCAGTACCCCTATGGAAAGTTGGAGGGTCAGGGGAAAACGGTAGGTGGTTCAGTCTCAGAAGTGTGTACTCTTTAAGTCTCAAGAGTTTCACTGCATTCTCTGGGGCTGTAATTAGTCCAGGAAATGGGACATTTGAATTTAGATGTTTGTGACTATGTGTGATGCTATTAAAGTATATTTAAATAATTTTTGGAAAATTCAATCTTACAAATAAATGCCAATCTTTGCCTTGTAAAAAATATTTCAGAAAATGTTCTATATACTAGAGGACATTTTCTGTTCTTTTCATGTTTTCCTTGAGAGCTGAAGCTAGTGTTTTCAGTCTGAATTTCTCCAAATACAGTTTTCCATGAATGTTCAGTAAAGCAGCAGTGAAAGAGAAACCCACTTAAATTTATTTTAGAGACATTTTATTTAGACCAAGTCCAATGCTTTTTGAGATTCTGGATACATGTTATTTTTTATGTGTTTTGTATCATGTGGTTCCTTGTTAGCTATAGGGTAGATTATTTCCTTTCTTGGGTTTTCAGTTAGTACCTTTGTGTATCAGTATTCTACTGAGGTGAACAGAGGGGAAGAGAAACAGTAAAAGAAGGTGATAGAAGTCAGTTTTAGGTGTTTCTGAAACATTGCAACTACATTGAGATGTTGAAGATTTTTAATCCTGAAATAATAAGAATGCTTTACCCAAAGTTCTTTTGATGTATACAGACAAATTTTGGAAAATGAAAAGAATTTTTGACTGCTTAAGGAAAATTAAATGAAAAATATATTGGAGTGTGTGTGTGTATATATATATTTTTTTTAAATGCAGTTCAGAATTAGGCTAATGTGTTTGTGATTCCACTTGATGCAGTTTAGTTGCTGAACTTCAAAAATATCTCAATAGTTTTTTTTTTTCCCTTTTCATCATGAGGTCTTTATGCCTAAAATATAAGTGTTTATATGAACTGACGAAAAGCCAGAAGTACAATTTTATAGATATATTCTTGTATTTTTTAAAAAGGCAAAAAAGATGGGGGAACAGTTAAGGCAAATCTGTATTGTATCACCAACAGCAGTCATTTAGAAGATAAACTGATCTTAAGGAATCTTCTGGATCCCCTCCCTCATAACCTGCTTTATCAAAGTGCTACTGAGCCATCTTGAGGATAATCTCTTGAGGAAGCCATATCTAGTAAGGGAAAGTGTGTCTCTGTTGGGGGACCAGTTAGGATGCAGGGAAAAGAAAATGATACTAAAAAAAAAGTACAGTTTTATAGATTGAGGTCATCATGGGAATTTTGGAGGGGTAGTATTTTTAAAAGTTAAAGACTATTTTGTATGGGTAATCAGTTTGATGGTTTAGACAGTCTATAGTGTATTTAGTATATAAGATTAATATTTACATTAACTCATGCATGCTGATTTCTGTGGTTACAAATGTGAAAAGTTGGGCTGATAGTTCAGGTGGGCACTTTCTTAAATCTTAAATGTTGCCCTTTGGATATACTATGTCAAGCCTTTTTCAGAATAGTTGTGAATCATGAACTTTGTGTGTATATATGTTAAGACCATCAGGGGAAAAAAACTTGTATTTTACTGTCGCTAATTGTTAAGTCTGTTTTTGAGAACTTGGAAAGTCTGTTTTGTGCTGCTACTGAATGCTAATGTGGTTAGGCTGGCAGCTAAACCTACAAAGAACAAGAGGAAGTGGGGAAATATCTCTATGAAACATTTCTTAATCCTAAACAGTGAGCTAGAAATGGGGAGTTAGGGACTAGAGGACTTAATTCTTGTTTTATGTTCAAAAGAGGATGAAGCATACCCTCCTCCATTAAGAAAAACTTGAATTGTGTCCTCTTTGGAGTTTTGCCTTTCATTTACCAGACATTGATTAAAGACACACTATTCTAAGTGCTACAGTAACGAACCATGGACCTTATCTAGTAAGGAAGGGAGATCAAGGCTCAACTAACTAAATACCACTTGTTGAGAAGTAAAATAGAGTAAGGAGAAAATGATATCTGAAGGAACTCCTTCTGGGGAGGGAGTATGATGCAGGGAAAATGTGTGGTTAGGGAAGACTTTTCATATAGGGGATGTTAAAGTAGGACTTTGAAGGGCGAGGAGGCTAGAGTAAGGGCCCTGATAGTCGGATCCGAGGAAAAGCAGGTAGATTCTGTTGTACTTAGGGAGTAGTGGGACATGAAGCTGATGAGGTTGCGACCTAATTGGGAAGAGCATGGGGGAATATATCTTTATAGTTGGTTCAGGGATAATGATGCCTTTAATTAAGACAGGGAATGTATAGGAAGACTGGTATTTGAGGAGGAAGGTAATGTGTGTGATTCTAGATGTGAGAATCAGCATATGTCATGTGGGCAACCTGAAGATTTGGACTGGAGCTCAAGGG